AATGCCTTGATGATTATAATGAAAATTTGGCTGAAGGAAATATTCCAAAACACACATACAGAACACATATAGAAGTTAAGCTCAAAGTAGCAGGGTTTTTTTTTTAATTAATTTTTTTATAAAGATGAGGTCTTACTAGGTTGAGGTCTTGCTAGGTTGCCTAGAGATAAGGTCTCCAACTTCTAGCTTCAAGGAATCCTCCTGCCTTTGCTTCCCAAAGTGCTGGGATTGCCAGGCCCTGAAGTAGCAGCTGAAAAGTAACTTTCCTTCTTTGTATATAACAGGATAGTTTTAGCTTCAGTTGTAGATAGTTATTCTTTGCAAACATCATCACCTTATCTAAGAACCTCAAACTCAAAGATCATTCATTTATTTACTGAGTGTCTACAGTGCTAAAGTCACCATAAAAAACAAGTGAACACAGTACTGGAGTATCTGGGCACTCACTTTCAATGTTTCTAAGGTAGGCTTTAAAGTGGGAAAATTAGCCAGGCGTGGTGGCACATACCTGTAATCACAGCTACTTGGGAGGCTAAGGTGGGAGGATCACTTGAGCCCAGGAGTTCAAGACCAGCCTGGAAAACACAGTAAAACCTTGTCTTTTTTTTTAATCCTTCAATTAGTTTTATTCATGTAATATTCCATAGTTTTTATTTTACTTCCATTGAATGGAATAAAAGCATGATTCTGGCCAGTGAGGGGAGATAACCTTGATGTTGACCTACCCTAAACCTAGTATGAATTCTGAAATCCTTCTCACTAGTCATAGTAATTTCTCCTTCCACTTCTTCATCTCTGCTTTCCTCCAGAACATGGTAAACTTACCTTAAAAATAAAATAGCAAGCCGGGCTCGGTGACTCAGCCTGTAATCCCAGCGCCTTGGGAGGCTGAGGTGAGTGGATTGCCTGAGCCCACGGGTTTGAGACCCACCTGGGCAACTTGGCGAGCCCTCATCTCTACAATAAATAAAAAAAATTAGCTGGGTGTGGTAGCGCGTGAGTGTAGTTCCAGTCACTTGGAAGGCTGAGGCGGAAGGATCGCCGGAGCCCAGCAGGTCGAGGCTGCGGTGGTCGGGAGCGGCCACTGCACTCCAGTCTGGGCGACAGAGTGAGACTCCAACTCAAAAAAAAAAAAAAGAGAGAGAGAGAAATCTGGACAAGATAATCTTTCTCTGGGCTCTTCTTGAATTACAACACCCAGAAGGAAAACAGAGCTGCTGAATGAAAAAATAAATTAAGCCTGTAGTTAGAGAATGCAACTCTGTTTGACATAAATATCAACTTCTTTTTTATTTTTTCCATGACAGAAAATACTTGAGGGTATTTGGTTTCAGGAAGCAAAGGTGACTGCTATGCCATCAAACAGCTAAGAAAGAACAGCTAGTGAAGAAGTAAGGTGTTAAGAGAGAAAACCTTGAATCAGAAGGCATAAAAGAGACTTGACCTTGGTTGGGCAATGCGGGATTGTAACACAAGAGAACTGAGTTGGAAGGCACAAACTAGGGCAGGAATACAAAACCAAGGGTAAAGGAAGATGCTCTGAGAACACAGGATATTATCACAAGCATGATCAGAAGGCAAAAGAGCACATTTTACCATTTACTTTGTATCCTATACTAAAAGGGAAAATATATGCAGCATTCTGGAAGCAGTAGAAGCTAAAATACAAACATGGGGAAAGCAGAGTGCAGTATACCTTCCTCGCAAGATCAAAAGCAGCAGCTAAAGAGAGGTGAGGAGAAGCCTCTGGTTGCAAACTTCTATATCCTTCTTTAGAGCCTACTGGTTACTTTATTTTGATGGAGGAAAAAAAGGGAGTCTCACCTTAAACTCCCGGTCATAACCCCTGATGAGGTGTATAGATAGATTGCTGCCATCTGTAGTTTGTAAACTCCTTTTTTCTTGCCTGTCAGAGTGGCGACACAAACACTAAACTCAGGACACTCAGACTAGCACCCTCCTTCCCCACTGCCTCCCCCTCCATCCCTAACTTAACAACCCATCAATCAAACCAAAGGCAAGGGAAAAGGCAGGAGCTAGAAAGTTCTGTCTTGTTTATCCCTCAACATTCCCTCCCCCAACTCTTCAGCTGACAAGAAGTATGAGGCAGGAGTGTTCAACAACAATTCAGGGCAGTAGCAGTTGCTAAGAGTCATCTCTGGTCTCTCCTAGTACTCTGGCAAACAGTAGAGCAAGTCCTGTTGGATAGAGGTGTGGTAGAGCAAAAGTGGAATCCCATGAAGGGAAATGTACAACCTTGGTGAACGGAAAAGTCCCTAGGTCATAGCCTGAGATATCTACCTTGATAGAGAGAAGACCTGAGGGAGATAATTTGAATATTCAAACCTTCCTTGTTAGCTAGTAGTCAACATTCTACCTTGCTAAATTACAGACTCCATTATCTTCTCTCCTATTTCTAAGCTGGGGAAGACTCCAGTCAAGACACTTTCCAAATTTCATGAGTTTTCCCTCTTCGTGACAGATCCCAGTTTAGAATATGCAATTCCTAGATTATATCAGACATCTGTTTTGTTGTTTTGGTTCTGCTGGTTGTCCTTAAAACAGAAGGAACATTCCAAACCAGTTAGGCCATAGGCAAGCTCATTGCTCATTTCTCAGAGAAAATCATTAAAAAGTTTTCAAAGAGTTTGCTTACAAACTATAATATAAACGATAGCACAAATCATCAAACATGGACAGAACACCTATTATACCCCAAACCCAGGAGTTCCTGTTTCTTAAAAGTTGCTCCACTGCAAGGTTCCTTTCTTTCCTTAAACTTGCCTCTTCCCCTCCTCCCATTCCAGAAGTGCTCTCCCGGGGCACAGTGTGTTTAAATCTCCTAGCAACTTCCAAATATTTATTTAAATAATTATTTATTTCAATGGCCAAAGGTAATCTGGAAAGGCACCCCTAGAACAAGACTGTCCAAAAGGACTAAGAGAACAAGGAAAGAACGTCATACTGCACAGCAATTTTCTGCTTCTAAAAGTACTTCCCAGCAATTTTAATCTATCTTTCAAAAACCGAAGCAGTCCTCCCTCCCTTTTTTCCTCATTCTACTGCCCCATTCTCACAGTTTCCCTGGGAGGCAAGGCTCATAGCAAAGCAACATTATTAAGGAACAAATTATCTGGCACCAAGGTGTATTCTTAGCTGAATATATTGCATCTTTCAGCCCAACAATAATCTAAAGAGCAGCCACCACATAGATGCACCAGTCCCTGCACCTATATAAGAGAAAATGGGTTCCATTTGCTTCTCTGTTGGAGACAATCGTGGACATTTAAACTTACATCCAGGATGAAGCTAAGCAACATTCATTCTTTCACCCACAGTCCTAGAAGATTGCAACATGACTCAAGTACTCTAAAAAGATAGGAAAATGAAGGTCATCCTCAGAAGTGCTTTCAGCACAGGAGGAATAATGATTATGAACATGGATATATGGCAAGTTTCCTGAAGCCAGATGTAGGTAGCAATCTAATGGGTCTGGAACAGGAGCAAGAACTTCTAGTACTCCTCGGCCTCTTTAAAACAGTATTATCCATCTGTACCCCAGAGAAAATGGCAAATCACAGCCAGCACAGGATGAGCCATGCTAGTAGCCAGCTGGAGCTTGACTCTGCTGAAGTGGACTATAGCATCTGCCACCTAAACACAGGCAGGCTCTCTGGCAGCTGCCACTGGTAAAAGGGAATGAACCATTGTATTATTAGTGGAAGAAACTTATAGCCCTGTTACCAGAGAAGCCCAGATGTTGCTAAGTGATACAGATGTGCCAGAGACAAAGACCAAAATACCTATGGCAAAGAAAGCACAGGCTACCACTGGAATCTAGGCACTAAGAGGGCAGTACCACCCAAATATACATATCCAGTCTTTATTTATTAACACTTATATATGGAAATAGGTATTCCCTGCTGCAGCTGATGTGATTACAGAGAAATCAATTTATACTGCATCTGCTGGGATCAGCTGAAAACACAGGGTGAGCAGAGCACAGAGCAGAAAACCAAGAGCCAGTGAATGGCTCATTACCAGGTCAGTCGCTTTGTAGGAAATTATAAGTTGCTGAAGTTTGAAGCAGCCTGAGCTGACCTTAGACTCATACCTACTCTGCTCCAGTCTGCAAGCTCCATTTCCTGAGACATGAACTAAGATCATCTTCCTAGAGGAGGGACTCAGTTCTAACCCCTCCTGAAGCTGCAGGCACCTGTCCTTCCAAGTAAAGCAGAAGGCAAGGTATCATTACACTCTTTGGCAGCTATTAAACTATTAGGAGTCTTTGATTCCTAATAGTTGCGGGAGATACCTGGCAAAGAGCTACACCTTTAGTGGCCAAAGAATCTCTTACTAGGCCAAACTTTCACAGCCACAACACTAACTCATAAGGTCTAATTAAGTACCTCATTGTACAGTTAGTACCTCCTGCCTTGTTTATTTGACACTGAACTGTGCCCCTTTGCTTTTTGGTAGTCAACAACAGAACACTTGGTAGATATGCCATGAAATGTAATTAATCATTTGTTCTTCCAGAGGTCCAGCAGCACCATTCATCCCAACAAGAACCATACACAATCTATACATAGAAAAAAAGCTTAGCAAATTTATCAACTACTAAAACTCTGATATTATCATGCCAGTCAAGCTGGGAACCAAATAAAAGTTTGATGCCAGCCTCTAGCACTGTGTCTAAGGTGGGAAAAGGACAAGGTGTGAAGGTCTCAACTCAGACTACAGAAATTTCATTCTGTCAAGTAGCTACCCCCAACAACAGATATCCATCCTGTTCCAAAATGTCCAGGCTTGCCGTAAATGAGTCTGTAGGGAATTCTCTAATTTGGAGCAAAACCACATTATCATTACCAGCTGCTCTGACCTTGTAATGGTCATTACCCACAAACTAATGAGTCTCCCACAAAGTGCACATAGCATTTGGCAGTTAGTCCAGGGCAGCTCTGACTGGCAATGGGCAGCCAGATCTGGCCACCTCTTACCTTTTCAGACTTGACTTTCTTTAGCGGCCGACACTCATTCTCCCCTTCCTCTGGCTCCGGTTTAGCTCCCAAAGGATTGAGCGCTGCCCCAGGCTCAATAGCTATACTCCCAAGTGGCTCCACAGTTCCTGTATCCACCCCTGCACTTCCATCATACTGACCACCCCGTCCTCCCAAGGAAACTGGCTGGAGGACCCCAGGATCCTTCTCTGAACAAGTCCCCACTCCTTCGCTTCTCTCCTTCTTGCTCTTAGACGAGCTGTTCTCCTTCTCCTTTTTGGAGCCAGCTACACTGCGGGATGCCTTAGCCGCCTTCTCTGAGCCCTTGGGAGCAACAGCAGCAACCAGACCTCCTGCATTGGCACCATCTCCTGAGCGCCCCTGCACCTCTTTCTTGCTAGCTGCCCCCTCACTTGGAGTGAACAGGGAAGTCCCTGGAGTGGGTTTGCTAGTGTCTTTGCCACTCTTATTCCTTTTGGATTTCGATTTGCCTTCCTTCCCTTGAGGACCTGGCACTGGGGTCACAAACTTGATGTTGTCTGGTAGTGTGGCCACAGCATTGGGAGCCGGTATCCCCACCTCCTTTGAGCCTGACATTTCCAGTTTCTGCTGGTCCTTTTCCAGATCGGCGTCCAGGTCAATGATGAGATTCCCTACTCCAATGTCCCATTCATCCCCACTGTCGTATGTCTCAACAGGGTTTGCATCCACTCCTTTCCCTCCGGAGGCTCCACTGCTCAAGGACATCTTAGAGTCAACGTCCCACCTCAAGATTCAAGGCTCTTCCTTGCCCCCAGCTTTCCTATTTTCAGCTTCAGCTATGTTCTCAGACCTGCCACATTGGTCAGTACATGCCCAGTGGACAACATCATTGCTGGAAAAAGAAAATTTAAAAAGTAGTTAAAGGAAACAATACAGGCAAGGAGACAGCCTGAAATAAACTCCCACACAAAATAGACCCTTCCTTTGGGGCTAGCACATCACAATGGACAAGACAAACACATTCCAATTGCATTTCTAACCAAGTTATATTGCACCTAATGAAAAGTTAATCCCCATTCCATCTCCCCAAGGGAGAGTACAAAATTTCCACATGGCCCAGAGTTTCTGGGGTAAGTCCTCTAGAGTTAGTTTACCATTTCTGAGAGACTTAGTTTTACTACCATTGCCAGTTGGCAATTGTCCCTCAATCAATACAGGCTCTGGCATTCAAGCTCTAGCACAACTTTACTCACACTCCCTCTCTCCTTGCTTTAAAAAAAAAATTATCAGAGACTCAGAGGCCAGCACAGTGGCTCACGCCTGTAATCCCAGCACTTTGGGAGGTGGAGGTGAAAGGACTGCCTGAGCTCAGGGGTTCAAGACCAGCCTGGGCAACTTGGCAAGACCTCGTCTCTACAATAAATAAAAAAATTAGCCGGGCATAGTGGCATGTGCCTGTAGTTCCAGCTACTTGGAAGGCTGAGGTAGAAGGATCAGCTGAGTCCAGCAGGTCAAGGCTGCAGTGGCTGTGAGTGTGCCATGGATGACAGAGTGAGATTCCAATTCAAAAGAAAAAAATTATCAGAGGCTCAGAACATGATCTAGCAAAAGCCTTAAAAGGCCTCTACTAACAGGGTCTGTCTCTATTAAAAATAGTATAGATTCCTTATCATTCTACTATTGAGGGATACACAGTTAAAAGAGAAAAGCAAGCAGAACTGGGAAAAATGCAACTTCAGGATGGGGGCCAAAAACTACAATTAGAGGAGACAATTCTGAGAGGATTCAACCAATTAGCTTAAGTTAAATCAGCCTTATCAAACTCCAGATTTCAAATTATGTCTGAATAGCAAGATTCAATATGGCCTTTCTTACTTCCCACTAAAATACTTTAGAAGACACAGAAAAAGAGAAAAAGGTTTACACTGTCAATAACTGAACACTACTAAAAAAACCCTAACACTAGAATGTGAGATAACTCTTTACTTTCTTATATAAGATTGATGGTACTGTATTGACAAACACCAGGGTCTCACACTACATGAAACAGAGATTGGGAAAAAAGGGGAGGGGGTAGTAATTAAGAGGGCAATTTATCTCTCTACTGTTTCCTGACTCATGAGACCTGAGGAATGTACTACCTTGAAAACCTGGCAGTCACATCCTGCAAAGTGGATCTCTAAAAGGTAAATGCTACAGATATGACAGAGACAAAACAAACTGTACTTTTTCACCTAATTACTGAGAATAGTGTCAAAGAACTAGGATGCAGGGGCAAGAAAAGATGTCATACCAGCAGAGCAAAGTTGTACCAGGTGAATGCCTGCTACCATCTGGGATTTGAGAGAGAGAGTGTACACATTAATCTGCCATTTAGCTGTAGATCTGAGAAGAAAATATATCCATTATTCAAATAGAGAACTTAGTGTTAATGGCAACCAACCATTGTTTATTAGCAAACATCAAGTTTATTTCACAAAGGATGAACAAAAAGTGTGTTGGGGAGGGAGGACATGATATAGGAACTATGAAAGTTACCCATAAGGTAAAAGAGACATAATTCCTGAAGAGTTAGAGAAATGATACCTCTGGAAATGATCTAGAATAGTGAAGAAACTTTTAGTAAGCTGTGCGGGATTCTCGACACTACACAAGAAGACGTGGCCTCCATGAAATAGTAATATAGTAGATATTTGTTCACCTATTAGAACATTTTTATTTATTTCCTACTATGTGCCACACGTTAAATTAGAAGCTGGGAATACAGTAGCAAATAAAACAGTGAATAAGGCAATGGAACATGGTACCATTGAAAATAGAAAATATTTCTAGGAAATAACAAGTGAATCTCCACAAAAATTATTACAGTACAGTTCTTCCCTAAATCATAAGTTATTACTCCTGCAATATTTGCAATTGTGGTGAGGCTCAGAGTGTAACCCACATTAATCTAAGGCTTACCCATTGTCTTCAGTATGTAATTTAACCATTAAGACAGCCCCATGTTATTTTATCCTTAGAAAAATAATAAAATTTTCTTTAGATTCAAAAGACCTTCCTCTAGAAAACAGATGATAATGGGAGAGAGACTCTGGAGAAGTAAGGAAAGTATATAAAATACATTAAAATGTTAATGCTCAGTTAGGTATAGTGGCTCAGTCTGTAATCCCAGCACTTTGGGAGGCCGAGGAGAGAAGATTGCCTGAGCCTGGGGGTTTGAGACCAGCCTAGCAACTTGGTGAGACCTTGTCTCTACAATAAATCACAAAAATACTAGCCAGGCGTGTTGGCGTGTGTCTGTAATTCCAGCTACGTGGAAGGCTGATATGGAAGGATCGCCTAAACCCAGCAGGTTGAGATTGCAGTGAGCGTGCCACTGAAGTCCCGTCTGGGCAACAAGAGTGAGACTCCAACTCAAAAACTAATTTTTTTTTTTTTTTGCTGGGCTTGGTGGCTCAGCCTGTAATCCCACGCCTTTGGGAGGCTGAAGTGAGTGAATTGCCTGAACCCATGGGTTCGAGACCCACCTGGGCAACTTGGTGAGACCTCATCTCTACAATAAAACAAAAATTAGCTGGGTGTGGTAGCACGCACCTGTAGTTCCAGCTACTTGGAAGGCTGAGGCGGAAGGATCGCCGGAGCCCAGCAGGTCGATGCTGCAGTGGACAGGAGCGGCCACTGTACTCCTGTCTGGGCGACAAAGTGAGACTCCAACTCAAAAAAAATTTTTTTTTTAATTAAAAAAAAATTAAAATTAAAATAAAATAGAATGTTAATGCTCACTGAGAGCTTCTGACAGTTCCCACTTTACTAGACTGGCTGACCTATTGTATGAGGCAGCATAAACAAAGTGTGCCAGTAAGGGAGAGCACTGAGATCATAACAAGTCCAATGAAAACATGTAACTTCATTTTGAAAGGAGAAAAGGATAAAACATTTACAAAAATATGTGAGGAAACAAAAAATGCAGTACCAATTAAAATTCATACAAAAATCAGAAAAGCACAGAACTGAAACTGTAGAAAATTAATCAGTAAATTAAAAGAAAACCTAATATATTTTCCAGATTGCAAAGAAAAAGTACAGTGAAAAGAATGACAGAAATCGAGCCGGGCTCGGTGGCTCAGCCTGTAATCCCGCGCCTTTGGGAGGCTGAGGTGAGTGGATTGCCTGAGCCCACGGGTTCGAGACCCGCG